ACCTTTTCTTGCACCTGCCATTTTCTTGACTTGTTCGGATGATTTGCACCCTTGGCATTGTTTGTGAGAAAATGCCACATCTGGTCACTTGATCCAAGGTACAACAAACAGGTGGCAGAACGTCTACGCAAAAAGCGTGGTTGACTTCAACGCAAGTTAATTTGCTTGGGGACAAAAGTGGCGCACCCATGGGGTAAGGGACCCTGGAAAACAAACAAAGGGGGTTCTACTAAAGCCTTTTGTTTGAGATGGTTTTGGAAGGCCAGGGAAGAGACATGACTAAGAAATACAACGATGTGCAGATTTTACTAAGAAATCATATCTAATATGATGTTTGTCTAGAAAACTTAAGGGGCTTTGCCCAGGAAATATGTAGTTCTTGTCAGCAAAAAAAATGGATCATGGGCATTTTGCCGATACATAATGTATCATAATGTGCCGTTCACCTGATTTCACAGAAAATTGGACTTCACCACAGCAACTTGCAAACACTGGGATCTAACAAACGATGGTTGCCCCCATTCGAAGCCTTCACAAACAGAATCCCGCTTATCACGCTTGGAATCCTCCTGTTGATTGACAACGACGTACTTTCGTGAGCGTAGGAACCATAGGAATCCAGCAATTTGTTTTGATGACGCTGTATTCATGTTTTCCAAGTTTCCAACCATTTCTGGGTAAACTAGCATGTGTTTGGGCCTGGCACAATTCCAATTCAACAAACAAATTTCTACTGAATGAAGGCGGTGCTTACTGATCATATTGAGACATTCATGATCATTACCCTCTGGTGATTTAAGATAGCCATGGAAAATGGCCCATTTATAGATGATTTACCTATAAAAAATGGTGATTTTCCATGGTTATTTTAAATAATCAGAGGGTATTTATGGTCTTTGTCCGGAGTGAAACCAACCACTTTTGCAATGCTCAAAAAAAAATCACCCGTTGCATCCCCGTCACGTATAAAAAGCTGAAAGAACCGCAAACTGTTCTAACTATTGCAGCGTCCATTTGTTGGATATGTTTAGGGTCAATCGTGTTGAGTTGTAGGGAAATATACATTCCACTGGCGCAAAAACATGTGCGCGATTGTCCTACCAAAACAACGGTTATTGAAGTATCAGGTGATTTTGGAGTTGCACAAATCCATCATCTCCTGTTTTTGATTGTTTGCGTTGGTTTGAATCATATGCTATTGATTGATATTGAGGTTTAACTTCACTTGTTGACCGATGCTTCACTTGTCGATTGTCTAGTTTTGTTGATCCAAATACTTACTGGTGCTAAACGCAGGGAATTTTCGGGAATGATCCATCATCACTAGTAATAATCATCCCAGCAACCCCCAGTCCCATCCATTCCATTCCATTCCCTACGTTTAGCACCAATAAGAATATGTGCATGTTCTCCCACCGAATAGCACTTATATACCTTGCCGCAACGGCGGCAACATCTCCATCAATCCTTGCTGGTAAAATCACTTCAGAAATCCCTATTCCTGTGGTAACCCCCAATTACACCAGGGACAAAAACTTAAAAACACAAAAAGTCAGACTTAGACTATCTCTGGAATTCTATTAATTCTATTGTGTCACATGTGTTTTGCCATCTATTTTTGGTGTGTTTTTGTCCACATGTCTCCGCAAGCTTCACCCCCATCCGCCCATCACAACTCCTCGATGGCAGGGGGATCGGCCCAGTCGAAGAGGCACCAGTTGAAGGCGAAGATGCCGTTGTTGCGGATCTGCGTCAAATGGGACGATCACAGTGTTTTTTGCGTTGGACAATTACCGTTGTTTCTTAATTTAATGGGAAAATCACCGTCGGTTTTTTAATGCGTAAATCCCTGTTGTTTAATGCGTAAATCACCGTTTCTTAATGCTTGTCGGCAGTGAGCAGCCAGGTCATCACCAGTTCTGAAGGTCTGAGTGCAAGAGATACAGTGCAGTGTCAGCATGGGACGCAAATCTGTCCTGGAGTAAACCTGGTCAATCTGCCGTAGAAGATCAGGCTGGCAACCTGTTCAGGCCGCGTAGCTACCAGCTTTAGGCCTTCCAACCACCAGCGAATATTCGATGATATTTTCCTTCCGCCATGTTTGCCGCCATGTTTGCGAGGAATCGCTGTGGTAGAGAATGGCTGCGGTTGGCAATTGTTTCATGGGTTGCAACATAATTCCTGCATAGTTCCTTTGATGCAAGTGCTACATCAACAGGAATCTCAATAAAAGAGGCTGCATGTTGAAAATATTTGGGTATGGATCAATACCTATCAATACCATTTTTAGGGGGATGAACATCCATTTACCAGCTATTTTGATGTTCACCAGGGGTACAAGGTTTTGACCCATCCCCATTTGAAAATTATGTCATCCTGGAATCTTCCAACATCCAGCTCTGCAGCCGTAGCTCATCACCAGCCAGGCCCAAGGTTGCACCACTGCTAGTGCGTTTCGGTTTCAGCGTACGCGTGCGCCGATACACCGATACACCGAAACCCCTAGAATACATTTAGTGCCACAAGTCAAAATATGATTTATACCCCAGTGCATCCTTGCTTGTGTGGACGCGGTTATGTGCCAAAACCAAGAAGGTGCACTTGTATATAAGGATAATGCAACTGAATTACATGAAGTTATTGTTTCCAACCCCTAGAACATAAGTTTAGCGCCAAAAGCAAAACTCGTTTTAGAATTCAGCGGACCTGGATGCCGAACGCTTTGCACCCTTTTTAAATGGGTAGAGATCACCATTTTTTGCTTTGGAAAATCACAGTTTTTAATGGGTAAATCACCAGTTAATCTCTGGTAAAGTAACCGTTTGCTATGGAAAAGCAGCATGTTTCATGGGTAAATCAGCTATAGATGGTAACTGTCAATAGCTGTGTTATGCTTTGTTAAATTAACAGAGGGTACCACCGAATGGCCAGGAGAGAATTGTGAAAACATCCGTTATATTGTGATAAGATGGGAATATATTAGGATGATAAAAAATAGGTATTGTTGGTGGGTTCTGGGATTAGTGAAATCAACCATTTCACATCAGTTGCAATATGTTAGAAGTTATAATCCATGAATATTGGCAGCAAAACTTACTTAGATAGGGTTTTGGGATGAGTGAAAGCTGATTACTGGCGAGAAAAAATCACTAAAGAATGGATAAGAACCAGATTAACCCATTAATCAGTGATTTTTCTAACCATTAACTAATCCATTAGTTGCTTTATTAACCACATTAACTAACCACATTAACTAATCCTATAGGGACCATCCAAGTATCCGTTGCTCATTTGATGTTTGCTGATTCGATCCAAGACAGGGGAGCAGGGGGCTCTGTACCTTGATGTCTGATCCAATCATTCCCCAGTCAGCATGTTGTAACTTTGAATATGTTGAGGACTGTTAAGGTATGTATCTGGGTAAATTTTTAATATTTCACTAACCAGAGTTAAGGCCTAGGGTAAATGAAATCATATTTCACTCACCTGATTTTCAGGGCCATTGGGGGATGATTCCCCGAATCCTAACCATGATTCCAGGGCTCGGGAGAACAGTGAGGTCGTGATCAAATTTACCCAGATGTATGTAACATGGGGATTCAACCAACCTGCAGTCAGACGTTACACCCGGGATGATGTTCAGCTGAGACGCTTGACCAATTTGGTATGTCGGGATGTGCGTTTTGCGATATGGGCAAACCGAGAATATGTTCATATATGTTCAATAATTTGCGGGGTGAATCTCCCATTCACCTACTGTTTCTGGGCAAACTATCACATTTCACAAACCAGAAGTCAGCTATATATTTAAATAATCTTAAAATACTTAGATTCATAGATTATCAAATTACCCTTACCTACCGTCCTCTTTGGTGAGCTTGCCCATTCATTGATCTCCCTACAAATCAATTTCGATCATCCAGCTTTAGTCCTGCCGAATCCCAAATCCTTGTTAAGTCTGCTATGTCACAATACGGATATGGAGAGTTTGCAGAGCAGTGCTGAGCTTTCGTTAACCGCTGTGCATTGGTCAGTTCCTTCTCCGGAGGACACATAGCTCAAAGGTATCACTTTTATGGATTTTTGCAGTACCCTCTGGTAAACGTTTACATAACTATGGAAAATCACCATTTTCAATGGGTAAATCCACTATTTCTATGGTCATTTTCAATAGCTATGTTAAATTACCAAGAAGGTTAATTTTTTGGAAGATCTTGAACCTATGGCTCACAATACCAGGAGTCTGGCACAAAAGACGGCGCCAGAAAATCTCCTCCTCTTGCCACATGCCATGCGCTTCATCATGAACTCTAGCCAAAAATCAGCTCATTGCATTTAGGATATCAGTATATAAACATGGATATAGTGATATATTAACCGTACAGATAGGTTATTATCCTGCAGATATATTACCATAACCCTACATCATCCTATGTCAATATCTGATTTGCTTGTGGCCAATGATATGGATAATCATTGATCACAAGTATCCGCAATGATCCAATTTTTCAATAATCATCCCCACATCCTTGGCGATAACCCTATATCGTCCTATATCCATGACTATCAATTCTTCAATATTAATTGATCATCACAGCTAATATTATAGCCAACAATTATCGATTCTCCTGGACAAGAACCCTGGTTCGTGGTTTCAACCCCTCTGAAAAACATGAGTTCGTCAGTTGGGATTATGAAATTCCCAATGGAAAGTCATAGAATTCCATGGTTCCAAACCACCAACCAGAAATGGAGGTTTCCTAAGTCATGGGGGTACCCCATTTCATCCATTTATAGATTGGATTTTCCATGAACTAAACCATTGGGGTATCCTCATTTATGGAAAACCCAACAAGATATATTGTTATTCCAATTATTAACCATAGATTAACCATAGATTAACCATAGATGATTAACCATAGATTAACCATAGATTAACCAGGAAAATTCCATGGTTCCAAAGCACCAACCAGAACCCAATGATAACCTCACATCCTTACCTTCCGCCCCCGCGCGCCGTGAAGGTCCGCGTCTGCGTCTCGCCCTTCTCCACCGGGCCGAAGTTCAAGCCGCGCGGTGGCGTCACCTGTGACCGTTGTGACGCCGTTGAAAGCGGCACAACTTGGCCGTGGAAAAAAAGACACCAAAAAAGGTGAATGTTATATAGTTTTTTGCATGGTTTTATATGGTTTTCTATGATTTTATATGTTTTTTTTAATGATTTTATATGGTTTTCTATGATTTTACATTGTTTTATAGTTTATAAAAATGGTTTTATATCAAAGTTGGGGCCTTGAAACGATAGCTAAGTTGGTTTAGAACTGCAATGACTATGGTGTACCATACTTATACCTATGGTATAGTTTCTGGGGTTTATGAACCAACTTATAACTGGGGGGGCCGCATTGATGTCTACAAATCATCGCAAAAAATGGGAATGTCTTTGTACATACCATATTTTTGCAGAACTCCAGGATGATTACTGTATAGCCAACAAAAAAATAGGGAAATTGTCCAAGAAAATGATGATCAATAGATTGGTTGAAGGGAAATGTTCAGGCAACCATGCTTGTAAGCCACATAATTGATGGATATTGATGGGGTTTTGCTGTACATTTCCACAGATGGGTTTGGTAGATGAAAATAATGATGGTGGTATTAAGGGGGATATACAAACATGATATGACCAACTATACACTATGTGCTTTTGTCTAAAAACGATGTGAAAACCTTCAAATTCACTGGTTCAGCATCATTTTCCCTACTATCATGATGCTTCAAAATGGCCATGTGGGGAGTATGCACGGTTTATTGGACTCACCCAGACCTGGAGATCAGCCTAAATCCCAATGAATACTAGTCGTAACTTTACAGCCAAACACCTCGATTTGCCCGCCTGTTGGCCCGCCTTCTTCGTATGAGCTGAAAACATGGTAAACATTGGATATGTTAGCATTATGGTTAACATGATGTCCTACATCAGAACGCACAGCATAGGGACCTGTGCGGGTTCGTTCCACATCAACATCAACATCATCATGACCACCACCATCATCACCATCATCACCATCACCATCACCATCACCATCAGCATCATCATCATCATCATCACCATCACCATCACCATCACCATCACCATCATCATCATCATCACCATCACCATCACCATCACCATCATCATCATCATCATCATCATCAATGAACATATTCAATGAATGTAGAAGTTTAACGGTGGTGGGAGAATTTAAACCCCTATTGAAAACCTTCAAAGAATGAAACGGAAAACGGTGGTGGGAGAAAAAAAAACTTATTGAAGATCTTCAAAGAATGTACTGTAAACGTCTAACGGTTGTGGGAGAATTAAACCCTTATTGAAGATCTTCATTGAATGTAAAGTTTAACGAGGGTGGGACTTTTTTCCCTGATCGAATATAAAAGACCCACACCCTTTAAACTTTACATTCAATTGGGAAGATCAACAAAGGTATTAGAACATATTAAAAGTCCCACCCCGGTTAATCTTTACACTCCATTGAGAAGATCCACATAGGTATATATTAGGGAATATAAAAGTCCCACCCCGGTGAAATTTTACATTCAATTGGGAAGATCAACAAAGGTCTTAGGGAATATAAAGAGTCCCACCCCCGTCAAACTTTACATTCAATTGAGAATATTAACAAAGGCATTAGGGAATATAAAAGTCCCATGCCCGTTAAACTTCACATTCAATTAAGAAGATCAACAAAGGTAGTGAAAATGGTGATGATGATGATGATGATGATGATTATGATGATGGTGATGATGATGATGATGATGATGGTGGTGGTGATGATGATGATGATGGTGATGATGATGATGATGATCATGATTGATGATGATGATGATGATGATGATTATGATGATGGTGATGATGATGTTGATGATGGTGATGATGATGATGATGATGATGATGATGATGATGATGATGATGATGATGATGATGATGATAATGATGATGATGATGATGATGATGATGGTGATGATGATGATGATGATCATGATTGATGATGATGATGATGATGATGATGATGATGATGGTGATGGTGATGGTGATGGTGATGATGATGATGATGATGATGCTGATGGTGATGGTGATGGTGATGGTGATGATGGTGATGATGATGTGGATGTGGATGTGGAACGAACCTGCACAGGTCCCTATGCTGTGCGTCCTGATCTAGAACATCAAGTTAACTATAATGCTAACATATCCCATTTTTACCACGTTTTCAGCTCATACGAAGAATGCGGGCCAACAGGCGCGGGCAAAACAAGGTGTTTGGCTGTAACTTTACTACAGTACCCCCTTTCAGACCCACACCTACAGTACTCGTTCCAATGATTATAGTAATTTACTACAGTAGCCACTGTCAGACCAACACCTACGAGGTGGGGGCAACTGTTGGGTTCATGGTAGGTTACAATATAAACCAACAAACATTTCATGGGGGCAGCACGTCTCGCGTCGCTCCCAGTCGACGATCCAAAGCTCCGATCACCTGGAAGGTGTTGTAGACCGCAGTCAGCGTCACCCGCATGGGTGGAATGCGATGATCCACGGACTCTCCACTCCTGCTGGGTCTGTCTACAAATGTGTTTTTTTTACATCCACTGAAGTGGCCATTTAATACCCATATGCTCCATGAATATTTACATATATATATATATATAATTATTTATATACATACGAGTATATATTTACCAACATGACTGGGTCATTTTGTTGGTAAATGTTGGTAAAGATTCTATACATGGAGCATATGGCATATGGGGATTGATTTAGGGGAATATGTTGGTAAATATTCTATACATGGATCATATGGGGATTGATTTAAGGGAATATCGGAATATCATGGAATATCTACAGGGCCTGTAAATTCTCCCATCGTTCAAATCTAGCAAACATCGCCTTCTGAATCACCCTTCATTAGATCTAAATAATGAATCTTACAAGAAAGCAATATCATTAAACCATTAAACCATGGTTTTTCTATTGCAAATTGCCAGCTTGGAGCCATAGAGGATCAAATGATATCAAATGGGCCCAACAAGTGTCCATTGCTTCTCTATATCACAAAATGATGGGGGAATATGGGGGATATCATTACCCAGCTGAGGGATTCACTGACCGGTAATCCCGGCAATGGGATCCCATGGAGGGGGAATGGTCGCAAGTAGCCACTGAAGGTGGGAAAATCAGTCACATACCATGTGGTTTTGGATTTCGGCTAGGCTTAAATTAGATCTCATGGCTTTCGGGCCATGGCCAAGCCACATATGTTCAACGATAGCTAGCTGGGACATGCTGGGACCATATCCCAATGTCCCAACTCCAGAAATCCCGGAGCGCTGGGACTCCCAACAGCTGATCGAAGATCTGCACAGCAATGCCCTCACCTCAGCCATTCATGTCATTGGTGGAGCCATGGGTGATCCCGGAGCCAAGCCCTATCTCCACATCTGTTTCGGCATCTTTTAAGGATAGTCAGAGTCAGTAAATATATGTAAATATATGATTGCTTTTGGCTGTAATAGTTTATATATGTTTAATTTAGTTTACAATATGTTATAATTATACATATCACCTGAGTCTATTGGCTGCTTTCGATTGTGAGAATGTTGGTAATGTTAGGGTGCTACAGGACTGAAGTTCACAAGGAGTGCCCTTTTGGTCAACATTCGGGAAACCTTCAGCATTCCAGAAAATCTTGATGACCCATTTCACACCCGCGAGAATGGTGGATTATCACCATTACCTTTGATTTACAGTAAAATCCCACCAGTTGTTGAAACCGTTCCGATTTCAGAGAACTGGCTGGGCACCAACATTCAAATCCAGACATCGATATCTGCATCCCCCTTCCCATCCTTCCCTCAGTCTCCTGGCTTGCGGCTTCAAAGACCCTGCCCGGTGTACAAGTGACCTTGGCAAAGGCGAAGAAGTGACACCGTGAAGTCGGAATAGATGGATTGCTGGGAGAACTTGCAGATTTGGGCGAGGTGCAGCTCGTCCCACTAGTAGGTATGCAGATTATAGTCTCTGGTTATAGCCCTGGGGGTTTTATATCCTAATCCGGCTCATCCCCCTTGTAGGCGCAATCGCAAAAAACTCTAATTCAGGAATTGGTTCCATCATGTTTAAACATGTTTAAACCCTCTACATTTGGCGCTGAAACCCCATGGCAAGCCGTGCAGTTTACCCCGGGGGTCATTGAACAAAAGCCATGGCAATCGGAACCTCCTGAACATCCAGCAATCTGTGATGACCAGAGGTCCTAATCATCTCTTTCGATCCCATAAGACTATCCCATATGAATATACAAAAACAACTGGTTGGTGGTTTCAACCCCTCTGAAAACTATGAAAGTCAGTTGGGATGATTATTCCCAATATATGGAAACATAAAAAATGTTCCAAACCACCAAGCAGATAATGTCGCATTAGATTCCATGAAATCCACCATTTACACAGTTGACCATGATGTGTTCTTCCCAGAAATGTACCATGATGACTAGAGGGTTTTTAGTTTCAGGATGAGGACATCTGCCCAGTCAATCCTTCTCAAACGATCACCTCGACGCAAATCGCTTCACAAACACTTCAAATGACTGAAGAAACCCTAAAAAATATATTTAAATGTATATTTGCACTTTAAAAAATATGTTATAATTATACATATCACAAACCGCGACCCTTCACAAACACTCTGAAAAACTGATGAAACCCCAAGTCTGACCAGTTGTGTTGCCCCTCCAACATCCCCCACTCTCTGCACAGGAGCGGCCAGCCATCAGGTAGCGTTTTACTGATTTTACTCGAGGTACCATAACATATTTCTAGCCATGTAAAACAGGGGTATATCGGTACATTCCCTTACATAGCTTTTACATAAACCAGAACAGTTGTTTTCCAAGAGATTTCAAATAATCTTCCAGGTTGACCCCCGGCAATATCACTCCAGCCACTGTAATGGCGCGACGCTCCCCGGGCTGCAATTCATCCTCGTTATCTGGGAGACCATGGAAAATGAGGGGACGTAGAATGAAAGTTGCACTGAAACCATCTGGAATCACTTTGAACTGTTTTAAACCTATCTTGGAACAATGCATGTGCATGTGAACAGTCTTAGGAAACCATCTAAGTTTGTAGGAAATGGGGACCGAGTGCGGAATCATAGCTACAGGGTCAATAGAGAGTTCATCTCGGATGAACCGGAAGTGGTATCACAGCTGGTAGAAAAGATGCATCATATGGTACCATTTAGTTTTCCCATGTTTTGTAGTAATAGTCTGCCACAGTCACTAAGACATGGGATAAATACATTGTATACACAATGTAAGTTTACCATGGGATCATGAACAATATCATGCATTATCCAATGCATAGATACATCACTAAGGCATGTTTAATTCATTTTCTACAACAAATTGAAACATGGGGATCTATCTGTTCACCAACCTTTCACTCAGTTAAGCAGTGTTTAAGGACTATTTGAAAATCCCATGTAATGGCTCTGGAAAAATTATCATAATTCACTTATCTGAAATGTTGTGCTATTTTGGGATAGTTGCCCCTACTAACCATCATTCCGGTGAGGTTGCAATTAGATCGTTATACTTTATCCAAATGCTTGGGTAATGGGGGACTCCCACAACAGATGAACAAATCATCCAACAAGTGTATTGGCTACTAAAAGCATAAATACAGTACGTAGTTTTGTACTGTATATAATCCAATATAAACCAATATTTATACTGTATAGATAATCAACATATAACATCACATAACCCTGTCTCATCAACCGCTCCAAGATGTTTCACCGCTCCTTCCTTTGGGATGCCAAGATCGAGTCAAGTCACTAGGACCCTCCGAATCCCATTGGGGTGCTTTGCCCATGTTTAAGCCTGAATTTTGTTGCCTTTTTGCCACCCATTTAAGGTTTCTTAGCCCTTCACTCCCCCCATGTTTTCTGTTCCTTGAGCTCCATCTTTGCTGGTTTCGCATGGGTTGATCCTCCACAACAATGTCCTTGTTAGGAAAAAAAGGAGCCGGCCACTGGTATACCATCATCATTTGGGTGTGAAAATTGTACCCCAATATGAATCAAATTTGAATGGGAAGAGTCATGATCAACCCTAAAATTTGGGGCACCCCATGTTCCGACAAGCTCGTCTGCTTATTCGCTCTCTTGTGGGGTCAATCACTCTCTTCCTATCAACCAGCCAGTTGGAAAGAGATATACATACATATATCTAATTATATATATATATATGCTGGTTGGTGGTTGACCTACCCCTCTGAAAAAAATGAGTTCGTCAGTTGGGATGATGACATTCCCAATATGATGGGAAAGGCATAAAAATGTTCCAAACCACCAACCAGGATATATACCCTCTGGTTATTTAACATAGCCATGGAAAATGGCCCATTTATAGATGGTTTACCTATTAAAAATGGTGATTTTCCATGGCTATGTTAGTCATAACCAGATAATATATATATATACACCATAAACCATAGCCATAGTTAACCATATTTAACCATAGTTCCTCCAAGTGCTACCATCACCCCAACATCACCAGAAACCGAGTCCTTAGGTTTGTCGATCTGCAGGAACTCTCGAAGTGCTCGGCGGATTTGTAACTCATAACCTCAGCAGAGCGTGGATCGATGTCTGGTGATACCCGAAGAAAAGACCCCGGAACCTCGAACTTGGAACCATCTGCACAGGATGCCCCCCAGTGATGTTTGTTGGTGTGTAAACCCCATGAAAACCAGTTCGTTATATCTGCCATAAACCATAGTTACTGGAGTTATAAACCAACTTAGCTAACGAACTGGGGCACCACATGGCAACCCACGTACTTGACTCCTGTTTTTTTCTGGTTCACGTGTTGATTTTATAGTTCCACTTCTTCAAAGTCTCGAGGTCACGGGGTCACAGCTCCAAACAAAAGGTCCCCTTTTCGTTGTGTTGACCCTGTTGACTCCCCGAAAGCTCGTCATCAACTTGCCAGTTGTGTTATCATGAATCTCATCATCAGAATCAGAGACTCTTTACAATCCCATCCTCCATTCACATTAAACACCCCTGTTCTAGGGTCCCAAAATATGCCACGTTGACCCAACACAAAAGCATGGTGCCTCTAGGGGGGTGTTTGTTCTATGAACGGGGGATGGGATTAGATTAAACGCTTCTCATCAATCAGATCAGGTTCAAAAGATCAGATCCTAGAAATCTCTGAGCTGCTTGGAACGCTTCTCAGCCGCAGCATTTTGTTTCCATAACGGGGCTGCGCACCATGCCTGGCTATCTTTGTGAGCCAAGCATAGTGCGTAGTGCGGTTCTCCCGGTCGGTGCGAAAGAAAGGCCACTGGTGGACCACTGAACAGCTTGGATGGTGGTGCATATCTCAAGGGAAACTCAGCAAAACAGTGTTCAACCATGCTGGATCGGTCATATGTAATAATTGTTGCTGGGATTGCTACACATTCACGCCCCTATACCATCTTTGCCAGTGCTGTTGCGAGTCTCCTCCATTTCTGAACTCCAAAAGTGATGGCTCTGGCAACAAACATAGTGCACCAACAACCAGTTCACCCCCCACACGTTGACCCCTCAGCAGCACTGTCCATACTGCCGCTGCTGCCAAGAGGGTTGCCACACATCAGCATGTCTTCACATAAAAACTGGTGGGGGCCATGTAACAGTTGATTGTTGTTTGATGATTGAACTAGTATAATTGTTCCTTGATACTATATGGGGTTCTCATGATGATCATGGTTCATCATCAGAACCGCTAATCCACTCGAAATCAAGCCTCAACTCAGACATGATGTCGTCAGAAGACACGCATTGTGGGCACCGTAACATCAACGGAGCGCCGCTTCACGGTCCCTTCACTTGAAGACTTTGCTGATCGGAGTCCGATCAGCCCCAGCGGTATTGTACTCCGAGGTGGGCTTGGCGCGATGCGCAGTCACTTCTTTGAATCGCCCATGAATCTCCATCGCCCAAGCCTGTCCATGGGGATAATATACATTGGATGGGACTAAAACGTACAAACAACCGAACAACCGAATGTGGCGCACAAAAGCCTGAACAATAGTGAACATGGGGTATAGGGGATAGTAGGTTCTCACAAAGTGCTAACAAAGCACTGTGGATGTAAATACTAGATCACTGGGGTCTCCAACGGCCGAACATGATAACATATATGTCCATATGTCTATAGTTTCATTTGGTCATGCTCGCATACCATTTCCTTGGAGGTAAAGTGCTTCTCAGATTTTCTTAATGACTAAGAAAGTATTCCAACATGGGGAACACCGGAAATGGGATACACTCACCGCAAAACGCCCAAGACAGCTGAACTTCAGACAAGGCCATCTGATATCATGCTGATCCAAATCACTATACCCTCTGGTAAACTAACATAGCTATGGAAAATCACCATTTTTAATGGATAAATCCACTATTTCAATGGCCATTTTCAATAGCAAACTGTTAGTTTACCAGAGGGTAGATCAAATCATATCAAATCCGAACGGTTGATGCTTGAAGACCCCACGACTGGAGGATCCAAAAATGAGATCCATTGCTTTTCGTTCCTTTGAATTACAACCCAGCTGGAAATGGGATAAGCATCGATAACCCAAGACTAAATCCCATCAAATCCCATCCCTCAATATCTTATAAACACCTCCATTCTAGGGCTCTAGGGTCCAAAAATGTCCAGAATATATGTGTAAGTCATTGCAAGTCATCCTCTAGATCCACCATTTTAAGTGACGATGTTTGGGCTGTTTCTTTTAAGTGAGGATGGAATTTCATCATAATTCCCATCAGATTCAGTTTCATTCAGTTTCCAGTGAAATCCCAATTACATATATATATATTGTTATAGTAATCCCCAAATAGATGGAAAAGTAAATCACCATCAAATTAATTGGTATGGATTACTTTTTCATCTATCTGCGGATGACTAAATATATATATATACAAATAAGTGCCATTAAACCACAATTGAACCACCATTCAACAACCACATTACCCATGACGATCTTCCGCCTGCGTCGCGCTCCTTGCTCTCAAGGTTTCCTATGCGATCCATCTCCTGGGCAGCTGTGGTTCCGCGATCGCCGGGTCGGAGGTCATGTTTTTCGATGGGTTTTTTGAAGGGATTTCAGTGGCAAAATAAGTAAAACCAGGAAAATAAGCCACAAAAAGCGATTTAGGGCTTAGAATGAGCTGCAAGATAAGATGTCTAACCTACAACAAATGGAATTCAAGCATCCAAAAGTGTGATCTCCAAATGAAAGAAACCAGGATTAAAGCTACACATATCATATACATAGTTAACCTTCTGAAAATGGTGGATTCGGCCCGGCCAGCGTGTCTGGTCTTATCAGAAATAGATGGTGTACTGGTGATACTAACTGCTACTAACCCATATGAGATGATTGAGGATATTAACCACTAGGAATAATAGGCTTTGTCTCGAACCATGAGATGTATCCAGTAAACATATAACCAACCAAGAATTGCAATTCACAAACTAGAACTGATATACAAGTATAAATGAGTTAGACAATGTATATAGATATATACATGATCTCTGTCTATGATTGACAACTTTCACTGTAGCGTGAAACACAATAACAACCAGAATGTGTTTTCAATCATAAATGATGCAGTAACATACTCATATTATCAAAAATCACCAGCCGTTCTGCGTCCGGGATTGGAAATGGGATCCTCAAAAATGATCAATACTTGGGATATGATATCTGTGGCTTTGTCCCTTGGAGATACGCCCAACTTCTTATGGCCGCCGTTATGGGAACACATGACCCGGCCTGGTAAACATACACAAAAACCATGGAGAAATTCACGATTTTCAATGGGTGAATCCACTATTTCTATGGTCAGTTTGAATGGCAAACTGTTAGTCTGTTAGTCATTACATGTCATTACCAGAGCGCTATTTCCTATTGATACCCTCCCTAAAAGGCTTGGTGAAGTCATCAAAAATCACCATGGAAAATCATCATTGGGATGCTAGGATGGTGGATCTTTCCATAGTTTGTTGTATGTTTACCAGAGGCTAACAACTTACAGCCATCTCTCATCTCACCGGCTTAGTAGTTCCAATCTGCTTAGAAACGCTAGCAGGGATCATCTTCCGATTTCTACGGTTGAAAAAGGTCAATAAGAAACTTTCAAACCACCGAAGTCATATCTTCCGGCCTGGTACTCGCGCATCTGTTCCTTCCGCATGGCCCGTTCTTTTTTCCCCGAGCAGCCTTCTGGCCGATTCTGATTCTTGTCAGCATGTGGCCGGTCAAAGCTGACCTGAGATTCTGGGCGGCTGTGCACAGTCGAGTCGTCCAGCGGATCAAAGCCCAAAGAGGTACCCTCGATCAAATAAGACAGTCAAGAAACGCAGCAACATACAAAGCCAATAGGAAATCTGGTTGGTGGTATACCTACCCGTCTGAAAAATGATGGAGTTTGTCAGTTGGGATGATGAAATTCCCAATATATAGAAAAATAAAATTCATGTTCCAAACCACCAACCAGAAATGGAGGTTTCCTAAGTCATGGGGGTACCCCATTTCATCCATTTAGATTGGATTTTCCATAAACTAAACCATTGGGGTATCCCAATTTATGGAAAACCCAATTTGAATATAGGGGATACTAGCTGGCTTATTGGGTTCATTATAACCAAAACAACCCATAAACATGATTTATGGAAACCCAAACATATACTATAAAATGTCAATGTCAATCCTTTTGTGGGGACCCTTCGCTCGTACCAAGTCTGAAACAGGAAGTCTTTCTGTGAGATCCATTTTTGGGGCTGGTGAAATCATCTAAGTCATATAGAATGGGATATATCATGGGATGATGGATTTTGAAGTTGACTATCTGGTTGACTATCATGTTATATCATATCCCATTTATAACCATGTATAACAACAGGTCAACTTACGAATCCATCATTTACAGGGTGGTGCCCCCCAGTGATGTGAACGTTGGTTTATAAACCCCATGAATACTATAGTTATATCTGCCATAAACCATAGTTATGGGAGTTATAAACCAATTGAGCCATTGAAAATACCCATATCCCATCTCATTATACTAGTTATGGGTTATCATAATCCCCAGTAAACCAGGTAGTACAATCCCCTATAGCAATCAATTAACCAGGGTATTTTTAATGGCTCAATTTAGCTAACTATGGGGCACCACCTTGCAGACACAGACAAGATTTTCCCATAGCTTCCGAGACACAGGAGAGCCTTCTTTGGCGGCTTCCTCCAGTGCAGCTTCGACCTCCCTAGCGATACGGGCGTAGTCTTCTGCCTGCCAAGGGCTGCGACAAAAGGTATGGTCACCGGGGGGAACTGCATATGCTGGATTAATAAACAAGTATTCATACATGTATATATATAGATATAGTATATATACTATATAATATTATGCATATACATATACATATATACAATATATATATATACACACTCTATATGTATGTGTATATATATATGTATACATACATAATGAACTTCAGATTCAGTTTTTGGGATGCCTTCCCTCCGAATCACTCTCCCGTCTGCGACCAGAAAACTGTCATCGCCATCCTGTCTGCGCCCTGTCGTGCCCCATGGCCGAAAAAGGGGGGATCTCCATCGGTATCGCGGGGGTGGTTGAGAGCTAAACTAAACAATATCTGTAGTTGGGATCATAGAATAATAGTGGTTATAAGGCCAATAATAGTGGTTATATATGGTTACTGTATATATGGTTATGATGGGATATATATATATATATGATCATACTGGTTCGTCGTATACCCACCATCCTGAAAAATATGATGGACTTCGTCAGTTGGGATAATGATGAAATTCCCAATATTTTTGGAAAGTCATAAAATTTCATGGTTCCAAACCACCAACCAGAATATTGACATATGTTTATATATTCTTCACTTGCTGGCTGTCGATTGGATGTGTTCCCCAAAGCACACGAAAGGGACCAGTGTATATTCGGGTCATGTTCCCATTCAGTGGAAGATGAAGTATTCAAAAACAAACTAAACTAAATGTGCCAGCCATGTGGGGTGTAGGTTAATTCATATTGCACAAGTTGTAACCGTTACTGTAACCCATGTGCTGCTTCCTTCTTCATCTTGCGAACGAAGTGATCTCATTTTCATCCAGGGTACAAAGGTTTTTGGTTGGTTTGGAAGTGAACCATTCTCCAAACTTTGACAATGACGCTCTGAAAACCATTACTACAATTATATGCCATGGAACCCTAAAAAGTGGATGATCCAGAGAATGGATTTGGAGATATTAGGAGATAATTTTATGCCATCATGAAGACCTAGATCACGCAACGGTTCCCTATATATTATGTAGTAACACACATTTAAACATTTGCATGTTCTAATATGTTCTAAGTCTATCAAACAATACAAGTGGTTGACGGTTTCAATATGCTGGTTTCAAGTCAACTGGAATCATCACTTGCGTAGCTATAGATATGCTTATCTGGTTGGTGGTATACCTACCCCTCTGAAAAATATGAAAGCTAGTTGGGATGATGAAATTCCCAATACCCATAGGATCCATGTATGGTATATATGATATACATATATATATGCTAACATGGATCCCATCAACAAAAAACCCAGTCATGTTAGCATTAATATACCAGCACCATGGATCCGTCATGGGATATGGAAAAAATATATTCCAAACCACCAACCAGAAATCCACATGAAATCCATCGGACCATCACCCCCCAGTCCGGCAGTCCTTCAAACTCGAAAGCGCTGCGCTGAAAAACGCTCGAGCCGCAAATCTCTGTCTGATGGTGAACCGCCTTTTCAGATACTGCAAATGCTGGGATGCTGGTCAAACCAGTATGTATATATATATAGTATACATATAATTATATAATATATATATATAAAGATGTTGGTCTTGAGGTCCAACCATTATACAGTTTGAGAATACCAACGCCTTCATTTGAAAGGCACCAATTGGGGGTTGCACCCCCCCCATGTCGCCCTAGGCGCCCCTCACGGACAGGGAATCGGCCGCGGTTCACAATCTCGAAGATACGCTGAGCACCTTGGGTGAAGGGAACCTGGGGAGTTTTTGGTACCATTGATGGCAACTTTTCATGAGACAAGTAGGTCTACCCTCTGGTAATTTAACATAGCTATTGAAAATGACCATTTATATTGGATTTTCCCATTAAAAATGGTGATTTTCCATAGCTATGTTAGTTTACCAGAGGGTCCAATTGATGGCAACTTTTCATGAGACAAGTAGGTCTAAACAGTTTTAAAATGTGGGCAAATGCGGGTGAACCATGGTTTAATAAGACCAATTTCCATTTTTTCATGGTTAACCTACATGATGAACCCATGGAAAAAAGGGGTTCATCATGAGGGTTTTTCATAGGCCTATAATATCCTAAAATAACAGCCCGCAACGCAAGAACCATAGAAATCACCTGGTTATAAACTACTGTAAGTATGCTAGGGACCCCCAGCCAAGGTGGGGGAAAGCACCATGAATTTATCGGTAAATCATCTACGAATGAGCCAAGTTCCATGGCTATCTTTGACTGCCAGCAGGGACATTCCATGGTGGAAAATTACGTTCCATGACCCATGACGGATCCGGCTGGTGCTGGTATATTTTTATGCTAAAATGACTGGAGTTTTTGTTGATGGGATCCATGGCACACCATATTTGGCATAATATGGCAGCACCATGGATCCGTCATGGGTGAATCTAAACAAAGCGGTCAAGGCACCATACGCCTTGCCCCATACAGAAAACTTTCGAGGCCACAGCTTTGGAACCAGTTTTTCAGTTGCTCTGCCATTCACATTGCCACCCACACAGTGCCATTGAAATCGATTGAATCACCACCCCGCACCTGGCCGGCTGGGGAATCTCTATCGACCCTGGGAAACTTCGTTCACATTCAACGACGTCTCTCCGTGAAGATCTCCGTTAATGGAGGATTCGTTGTGGCTGGATGAAAAACTTGCCGATGCCATAGCTACCACCCGCACCGACTCGTGGATCTGCTCAGAGCTCATTGATCTCATTACTCTCTGTTTAACATATCTATGAAATAATGAACCTGTTTAGTAGCTAAATTAGCCATACATTGCCATTTTCCACAGCTATGTTAGTTTACCAGAGGGTATTCTTCGCACAGAGGTAGCCTGTACAAACGTGTGCTACAAACATCGCCAGATTCATCTTGTTAATACACGTGCTTCCATTTTTAATCATCTTCATGTGAGCCATGGTCAATACTCACTATATGGTTGATGGTCATCCCATCCATAATAAGGATCCTTATAATGGTTATTATAAATCCCTATGAACCATTGGATGACTAGCCCCTATGAATGGTTATTAACCATGAGTATTGACCATAGCTCATGTAATGATATTAGTTGAATTTCCAGAAATCTTGGGTTTCCCGTTTCCCCCCATAGAAAAAAAATCATCAATCATCACCTCGCCGCCGCCCAGCTGGTCTTTAGCTCCCAGCTGGTATGAACCAGGACAGTACCAAAGTCCAAAGGTACCTGCGCCGATCTTAAGGAAGCCTTCCTAAACGCGATAGAAATAGGGAAAGACTCTAGCAAACCAATCAGAAGTCACCTTAAATCTATGGCACTAAAATCAATTTTTAGTCATAAACAGCTCTCATCAAGCATGATTCTCTTTGCCACTTGTTCTTTGATGTTTGAGTGGACTTGTGACTGGGTGACGGTAGATCTTCCAAGTCGCATTGGCATGGTCGAATCGCCACGCACCAGACGTACTTAAGCGCTATGCGACTGACAGTCACTACCCTCTGGTTATGACTAACAGTTTGCTATTGAAAATTACCATGGAAATAGTGGATTTACCCATTGAAAATGGTGGATCTTTCCATAGTTATGTAAACGTTTACCAGAGGGTAAATCATGTAATGACCAACTCCGATGCAAATTGAGCATTGGAAAGTGACAAAAGTATACAAAAGTGACATTCTTCAAACCAAACCTATCCCCCAAACGTTGGGACTTCAACGGACGTCGAGGAAGGAAACCCGTCATTGGGATGATCGCTCAACAGCTTTCTACCAGAATAGGTCTCTTCTCAGGGGAAAGAAGTTTGGGGTCTGAAGATTACTGAAAACTAGGTACCCCTAAATCAAGTGGTTATATGATGTTATATTCTCATTCCCCCCAGTAACATGGTCATTTGGGGCAGCATAAATCATTTTCAGACATACCCAACTACCATATTGTTGGTTGTATATTGTTTGTATATTATTGTATAGTCCATTAATAGTATCCCGTGACATCCCAGTATTGTTGGTAAGGATATGGAAACAACAACTCCAAAAAACCTATATATCTAAATCCCATGTGGGGATGATTCCCCTTACTAACCATGATTCCCAGTGAGGTCGCAGTGAGGTCGTGATCAAATTTACCCAGATATATATATATATTGCTTCATTTGGGTTCTATGATGTTTCATGAGGAAACAAAATCCACATTTCTGGTGAGTCAGACTGAACAAAATGTTCCATCTCCTCCCTGGTAATTCAACTTGATGCCTATTGAAAATCACCATGGTTCCATAGCTATGTTCAATTCCCGGAGGGCATATCCTCATGAAATCTGAAAAATCACCATCTTCCAGAATAAATCCCATGAAAAATCACCATCGTTGTTGCCTACATCCCATATAAATCACATTTCATGACCCATAGGATCCATGTATGTTATATATGGTAACATTTACCATCAATATACCCCAAATGTTAGCATATATACCATACATGGATCCTATGGGTGATTGGAATCCATCATAATCCATCATAAAGACCTCTGATAACTATGCCAACCACATCTCCACCATTGGCGATCGACCGCGCACGTTGCTGGGATCCGGCTCAATCACTGCGTCCACGGCAAAGGATTCGGCGGCCACGCTTACATTGGCGGCCTGTCTGGTGGGAACACTGGAGAAATGGCGATGCTTGAGGAATGGAAAATCACCATGTTGAATGGGAAAATCACCATTTTTCAATGGATATGTTATGGATATGTAATATGTATGGATATTTTATAGATATTTTATGGATATATTATGGATATTTTATGAATATAGTTGTGGAAAAGTTGGAATTTAACCCTAACTTAATGAATATTTCCACTATTTTCCCCCACGACTATGGTAAAAAAGTAAACAGGAGGGAATGACATGATAGCATCAATAGGGGTCTGAAATTCATGGGGGTGTTTCATATGAAGGGGGGATGCCAAAATTATCCCATCTTATCAATGGCCATTTCAGGTACCGATTTATTGGAGGTACCAACCAGTAGTTCAGGCCTATGTAAGGGCTATGTAAGGGGACTTGCTCCCAAAACATGGTTTTATATGGTAAAGTGCCTCCATGCTATAGGGTCATGAACTTCCCATTGAAACGATGGGGAGTTGGCCAACAAAAACATGGTGCTTTAACTAATGCTGTGAGCACTTGATCTAATCAACAAGAGGAATGCGGATACAACTGCAAAGCAATGAAGCAGAGTACAACGTATCCATCAAAAAT